ATGTCTTCCGTCCGTCACAACATTGTCAATTTGGGGTTTCGTTCGTGGTATTTTATTGTGACGAGAACTAAAGATTATGCCGATTAAGAGAAAAAATATTGGCATAAGTAGGAAAAAAATTCTATGAAATTTCGCGAAAAAATTTAAAAACCTAATGTATGTATCATGTAGTGTATGCTACATGTTTGCCGTTAAAGTACGACAAGTTAAAATTCAAGTTTAAATATCAATCGGAAGAAGATGTAGAGCATGAAAACGGAAATTAACCAATTATTTCTCAGTGGAAATATTAAATCGTAAACACCTACACCACTAAAGTCACTTTAAGTACGCACAAATATGTGCCAATGCTCCAACTCACGCGCAGCTGCTTACAAAATGCGGCTTTTTCAAAATAATATTTTCTCGAATTTCCTCTATTATTGGCCACCTACGAACATATAATCAACATTTCCTCTCTACCATCAAACCAAACCGAAATTCATTTCCCTCCATTCACCGCCCACATCCAGCCACAACTCTCGTCATTCCACTGGTTTTGTCACTACCTACCAAAGTAGTCGACATATTGCCATAACCGCTTCCGATGTAGCTGCTGTTGCGCCTTGTTATGTGTTTGATGTTGCAGCAGCAGTAACGATTATATATATGTAGTTATGTTGATGCTGTTGTTATAGCTTTTGGCAGCGCTTGAATTGGCTTCTTCGTCTTCGACAAGGGACTTCTCGAACACATGTCGGACATTTAAGACGGAAGCCGGAAAATAACTTAAAGGACATTTTCATTTGATTGTTTGCGCTTGTATATTTGAGTAAGTAGGTATGTCCTATTACATGTGTACATATTTAGTTATGAAAGTCAGTGCATTTGTTATCGAATATTTGCGAGAGCTTTGTGTGCGAATGCTCTTATTTGTGTGGCAACGTTTCCGCATGCTGTCCACATTAAAACAATATGGCGCAGCTAGTGTTTTGCCAAGAATTCATCGATTTGAGTTGCTCTTGTTGCATGAGTCTGTCAGAGTTGCCAAGAGACTGTGAAAGAATAAAACTATTTTGAGTCGCCTTTATAACTTGAAAGAAAAAATTATAAAGTAGCTAGTGGTATACATATACATATTTACACTGAAAATAATATCTGCGTAACTATAACGAAACCCTGCGTAAATCTTACGAAATTTTTCGTCATTTTGAGCCACGAAAGTTTTTGTTGATTGTACAAAACCGTTTTCGTACAAACTACGAAAATATGAGGCATCGGATCTTTAATACATTTTACGAATGTATTCGTACTATTTACTAAAGAATTTAGTACTATTTACTAAATAATTTAATACTATTTAGTAAAGAATTTCGTGCTCTTTCTTAGTTTTTTACGAAATTTTTGTAAAATGCACAGAAATAATTCGTATATTTAACGAAATTACTTTCGTAAAATCTGCGCTTGTTTCGTAGAATGTGCGATTTTGCTTTCATTCTCCACACTGTAAAAAACATATTACGAATTATAACACAACACTTTTATTTTGTTTTTATCGTTAATTTTAAGCGTTTTTGTTTAACAAAACGTTTTGCAAAAACGCTTAACATTATTGATTAAAATATAATGAAAGTGTTGTGCTATAATTTTAGTCATGTTTTTTATAGTGTTAATAATAAAAGCAATCATACGTTCTATGAAAGAAGAAGAAGAATTTACTGACTACACTGTAGTTAAGAATTAATAAAGAAGGTTATTTTACCTATAATAAAACTTAAGTCCTTTATTTATATGCATACGAATAGGTTCTATACTGCATATTTTTATTGCTTAGGCTTCATTTAATAATATATTGGTGCAAAGTGTTAAACTATGAGACTCAACAACACTAAATATAATAAGATATAAAATATGAAAGAATATAAAAAATACTGGTTTTACTTTCTTAAACATTATAATATTTTTATGTAGAGGCACTTGACAGATTCGCAGCTTCATCGATGTTTGTTTCCTTGACGACTATAAATTAAAGGAAAATTATAAGGCGTCTGAAAAGCAAGTTTCAGTGAAAAGTCATATATCTACTTACTTTTAATTACATTAAGTAGTGCTCCTGGCTTAGGCTTGCGCCGGTGATAGGTAACTGATGAAATTGCCTATTTATCAAGTCCCACATTGCAGCGCAAGGCGCAGCGTAGGCGATGTTAAAAACATTGTATGCTTAAAAGCATAGTATATCCACAGCTTTAATATTTAATTTTGTATTGTTTTTTTTATCCATCAAA